TTAATTGTTTAAGTCATTTTTCAAGCAAATATGTCAAACTTCCTCTTGTTCCATCTTCTCAGTTGTGAGAATTTGCTGTTTTTCTTTGGGTTTTTTCAGAATAGACTCAATATCTTTGGGTTTTGGACATTTTCAGATATCACCCGGGGCTTTATGACTTTGAGTTCTGCATTTTCCAGTGCTTTCTGACCTTTTGTAGATCAAACGATTAATCGAAATAACCGGCAGCTTTATCGATAATGAAAATAATCGCTGGTTGCAACCCTAAAAAGATGTGGTGACTTTTGAAGTCGTGATGCTTCCACTTTGATGATATGAGAAGATTTTTTTGAACAGCTGAAGAGAGAATATGCTTTGATCCTAAGACTGAATGCAAGAGGAAGTGTTTGTGCTGGAGAGAGATGAGTTTAATGTTGTTGTCTGTGTCACTGACCCCTAGTAAGATGAAAGGAATGGAGAGAGGGAGAGTAGGTGGAGAGAAAAGCATTATAAGACTCTGCAATGGAGCAGGGAAGATAACAAAAAGGGAAATGCAAAATAATTTGTCTCTTGAGTGTCTTCATATGTATTAAAAATAGAGGAAGACAGTGTCATTCTCTGGGTGCCTGACACTCCTGGTGGAGCTGGGGAAGTTTGTCATTTTGAAGTTCTCATTCAAGGAGACAAAAGTAAAAAACTGGAGTTTTTCATTCTGTGAGTGGGACTCAAGTAAGTATTCAGAGAGTCAACAGTGACACACACTGAACTCTACTAGTAGTGTCAGATGTTAACAAGCTTTTAAGCCAATGCTTATCACACCATGCCATCGTTTTGTTTTAAAACCTTCTCTCCATCTCTGTCTCTCTTTCTCCCCTTCTGTCTCTGCTGATCTCAGCATGCCTTCTCCCTCTCTCCTTTCCTCACTTGTTTCCTCTCTTCATCCCTCCCTCCGTCGTTCACAGCGTGTAACCTCTTTCATTTCTAGCATCCCTCTTTCGACTCATCTCTCGGTTTTTCTTCCAAAATGTTACTATTTAATCTCAGTTGGGGGTTTTAGACACACAAATTCACCAAAGATTTCTCTTTTCGTATTTGCTGTCACTTCCCTATTTCTCAAACACTTAATATTCTTCTAATAACTCCCCAAGTCTTCATCTCTCTCTTTGTGGCAGATTTTAACTGCTAACATTGGTCGTGCTCAGACTGCAGGCTAAAGTGACCCAGATCTTTTTCTTTGCTAATATGTGACTCAGATCAGATTTTTTCATGGCAGTGCGAATAGCACAAATCTCATGGAATCTGATTTTTAAAATCAGATACAGGTCTGATTTTTTGCAATATAACCTCAATGTGAACAGTCATCAGTCAAATCAGATCTGAGCAATAAATAAGAATTGAGTGCTAAAGCTTGCAGTGTGAATGTAACCATAGATACATTTTTATGTATAAAGATTTGACAGATTTAACATCAGTGTGTGTCGTATGAACTGTAAATTACCGAGTTTACCTTTAGATTAAATATCAGATGGACATATTTTTATATTTTTGTCACCATCATTCACTGTTTTGCATCCTTAATCAGTACGAAAGATACCAAATAGAGCAACTCAGCATTCTTAATCAAGTCACCATTGTTCAGTGGTAATTTGGATGGTGCATTGCTGATAGCTGCCATGGAGTGTTTTGTGATGTTATTGTGAAAATAGGTCTTGTCCAAGGACTAGGAAAGCTTATGTGTTACCATGGCTAAAGTGCTGTTGTCAGTTGAACACGGGGAGTTAGGTATGTCGAGTATTCCAACTCTATGTCCTCTCAAGACACAGCATGTCTGAGATAGGCCGACGGATGGCACACCAAGTGTTCTTTCTCTCCGTTCTAGTGGTGTAGGAGGAACTATGCGGTTTGTTTTCGTGCCCCTGAGAGTACCTTTGAGGGTCACTATATCAGTGTTAGTGCTTCCTGTGTGGCTTAAAATGTCTGCAGACATAAAACACAACCCTGCGGTCTTCACACTTCTTCCAAGAGTTGCCTCTGTTGGACCCCTGTATAATACACTGCAATACAGTGTCGTCCATTTATGTATCTTTTGTTTTCATGTGGCTTGCCTCAGTGCCAATCAGACCAAAAGCACTACTGCAACTTTATATTCATCTTCACTGGGCTTTTTTTAGGCAAACCTGGAGCTCAGTCTTGCTGCTGATCCGCACAAACTTAAAATCATTTTATGACTAATGTACATAAATGCAACTTATATGAAAATTCTGTCATCTTTTTTTTAAATTCATCCTCCTGGCAATATAAAGTAGCCGTTGATTCGGTTTACAAAGAGATTTTAAGACAGCTGTAACCCCTACAAAAATCAGAGTTGTGAGATTTAGATGACAGTAGTGGTTCTTTATTTGTGCTTTTATTGGATTTGCTCTGGAGAAACTTGTGCTTGCAAATCTGATTCTCAAGCCAGAGAACCAGCTGCCGTCATATGTCCAAGCTTCACTGCCAGTGCTAGACTGATTGCTATTTTATGAATGTTTTCACATGTTGGTCTACACATGGAACAAGTGAATCAAATCAGCTTCTTTTGTGGGTGCTTTTGTAAATGTGTGTCACAACAAGCTTGACAATCCAGGATACGCTTTTTGAGGCCTTAATGCAACAGCCGTGGCTTGTCTTGTCACTTTCTGCAGAACCGGGGAGTGTCCATTTTGTTGGGAACTAGCATGTACACTTGATTTGCATTAAAAATACAAATGGTATATGACTTAGTCTTCATATATAAAAGTTAAGGATATCTAATTCTTCCAGTCTACATATTCACCAGAGAACAAACCTTAAAGTATCAGTTCATATTATCGCTGGCGGTTGTTCAACATCTTGACTCACTGGAAGCTGAAATGCCATAACAACTTATTCCTTGTGATTTCTATTTGAAGTGATTTTTCCTTCTGAAGTGAAATTTGATTATGAAACATTAGAACCAATCTGCCATTTCAAAATGACAATCCAAGTATGCTATTTGAGAATATTGTCCTTCAACAAAAAAATTAATTAGGCCTAATTAAGAAGATTCAGCTAATCTTGGCAAGAGGGGTTGAAATCAGTTGAAAATGACACTCATCGTTTTTTAACAGGGCATGTGCTGTTGATTTGTTCATGTAAGCTAATAAGATTGAGGGTGCAGACGCAGTTAAGAGGTCTAACATGATCTAAAGTTAAAGACTATGAATACTTCTGTGTATTAATACAGTCATTAGATGCCTTATTCTATGCACTTACATCTAAATCAAGGTTCACTCTTGAATAAGTCATAAATCATGACCACTGAACTTTGCATATACACTGCTGCCTCACAGGACAGTAGACATGCATGTGTTTTTCACATAGACACTCCCAGGCTGCGTCAGTTTCTATGTGTGCTTTTCATGTTTGCTACATAGAGAGCCGCGGCTCCAAACCAGCTGCTTCAGCACAAGGCCCAGCTCTCCCAGCCTCAGCTACAGCCACAAGCCAAGCCCCAGCCTCTGGCCCAGCATCAGCAGCCCTCGGCGGGCAGGAGATCCCACCGCACCCTGCCCAAGGACCAAACCCAGCTCCTGTCGCTGCAGCACGACCACAGACACAGGGAGAGAGAGAGGGAGAGAGAGAGGCAGAGGCAGAGAGAAAAGTCTGTGGCAGCTGTCCAGAAGCTAACAGTTAATAGCGGGAACACAGCTGCTGCTGCTGCTGTTGCTGCTGCTGCTGCTTCCTCGCCCAGCCGCCCTGCAAACAGCCAGCGCTCAGCGGTAAAATCCTGCCTCCCTCAGCTGTCCAGCACCCTTTATCACCTCTGCATCCTGAATCTTTCAGTCTGTCACTCTCTGTCTATTCCACCCTCCCCCCTATATTGAGTTTATGATTTATTTATTCATTGTTTTCTCTCCTCCCATTCCTTTTTCCCTACTTTTGTTACTTCATCTTGACAGACCTCTTTCACCTGAAGGTAACAAAGGTCTAGGAAAAGCAAGCCCAGTGTTTGGTAGAATATGATTAAGATGAAAAGTAACACATTTACCCAGTTGACAACATGTGGTTAATACACTATATTCTTAGAAAAAGTAGCTAAACCACACAAGGAACTTGAACAGGAAACAGACCAAAGGTGCTATTTTTATAAGAAGTCATTTTTAAACATCTGAGAGTCGAAAGGCTGAGTATTGTTTTTTTTTTAAATCATGGGGTGTTTTTTCGTATCTCTTTCACTTTCGTAACTTCTCTGCCAGCAGAAGCTTTCAGATGATCAGCATCAAAGTGCCTAAAAATTGCATAAAACAATATGTTTTCTTTTGCCGGGGTTGTTCATGCTACTGTAAATTTGGAATTGGGGAAAAAAAATTTCAGATTAGTGGCGGTCTTCTCATGTCTGGGCTAGTATGTATAAAACTTCTTATAAATGATGAAGAATGTTCCTAAACTTAAAAAATCAAAAAGTCCGACTGAGAAGCTTTGTATGAAGTCACTTTTAACAACGTTTTTAAGGAGATTCTTAAGTTCTGACTGCAGTGACTACAAGTGTTATACAACATGGACTGCAGTCGTGCCTCGTCATCATAAGGACTACCCATCATTCATTGTGTCCAACATTATATGTGCTTTAATGTATCAAGGAAGAGGAAAGCTAATATAATATATATCCTGTAAAGTAATGGCTGACGTTATTAATATCTGCGTTTTCGGATATTAAAAGATTTGTTAAAGTTTACTTGCAGGTTTATATATTTAGAATCTGTCTCATTTGTAATGTCTATGTTTGTTATTCATCATCTGTCTTTATTCATTTTACAGCTGTGTTGTTGAATCTATTATGTCATGAATTTATATTGTATAGGTACTGTATGTATTGGGACAGGCCTTGTATCCTTTATTAATTCATCATCATACAGTTTCAGAATATGAAGAGTGTGTAGCTGTTGCCTCTAAAGGTCCTAACTGTATGGAGAGACTTCTGGAGCTCTCTTAAATATTTTCCAAGCTGAGTTTAGTTTAGTTTTTATGCATGGCACATATTCTTAATTCTAAGAATAAGAACAAAATTATATTATTATTCTTAGATCTAAAACCACAATTTGACTCAGAGCAGCTTCATACAGTACTTATATAATTTCTTTCTTTCCTCTCGGTTATTCCTGCATGTGTTATTTATATGTGAAGAGTGTTTATGTGTATATGTGTAGTACAGGAGGGCTTGCACGTTACTGTATGTATGGAAAAACACAAGTTTATCTCAGTGAGACTGCCTGATTATGCAATATTTCTATGAACACACGCACACACACATAGTCTTACATGTGTTTCATGTTTTAGATGGACTTCCAAGAATCAAACCTAGCCAGGCTGCTCTTGGCGGCAGGTCTGCCCAACCAGATGCACTCTAGGCTGGGCTCTGGGAGCAGTTCTAGTCCTTGTACTCCAGCCATGCAGAGAGCTCACCTCAACCAGGTATACACAATTAAATAACACACCCCCACTATTTCCTGTCAACGTACTGTCATATTTAAGCACTGTTTCCAGCTATTCTATTATTTTCTGTTCGCCACATGAGGGATGTGTGTGAGGATGTTATTTTTAATCTTATTTTCCCAGAATGCCAATCTGCGCTCTAGTCGAGATGCCCCTCACAGCAGTTCCATGTCAGATATGGCCATCTCGCCCTTGTCAGCGTTTCCCCCCCTGTCCCCAACTGATGATGTATTCTGGGACTCCGTCGAGGCGCCACCTAAGGTGAGCAACAACTGTCCTATTAGCTGCTGGATGGCCCATGCCAACAGGTTAGATGACTTACATAAATGTGCACAAATTGAACTGATGTTTATTTAGTTTTTTCTGGCTGCCATCGAAAGAGGAAGTTGTTATTATTGTCATGCCGGGCGCAGGATGTAGCCCGCAACACATGAGGTTGGCATAACGTGTCTGTGTGTGCTAATCATCCTGTATTCTGGTCACACCAAGCTAAAGAAGTGATGCACACAGCACGAGGTTGGCACAGTGTGGGTGTGTGTCTGTGTTTATGGGAAAGTGTGTGTGAGCGGTTGTTTTTTATCTCAAGGCTTATTATGAAGTGCCCCTAACTGAAAACATCTCCGTGAAAAACACATTCAAGAACACATCCTTCACTCTCTCTCCGTTGCTCTCTGTCTAACATCATCCCTCCCCTGCTAGGTGTTTTATGAACAGAATATGCTGTTAGGTGTATTTACTAACAGAACACCATATGGAGTTAATAGAACAACTAATAACTACTACAGAGAGAGGAGGGGAGCCTAATAAAGCTGTCTGTTTGCTATGTTATGTTGTTGAACTAACAGGAGGCCATATGGAATCAGTAGAGCAGTTAATAACTCGCTACTCTCTCCTGTGATTGCAGCGTGGTGACTGCTTTAAAACACTGGAGTGGCTTTAAAACTGATACCTTTTGGGGACCTGCACCACAATAGAGTGACAGTAATGTGCTGTAGCAAAGCGAGGGGTGAATTCAGAACATCTTACATAGCCTTAAATAGCTTTAAGCTGCAGCAGAGGGTTCTTTCTTAGTAGACTGAAGGTTCTTCTAATGCTCAGTAAGTGCTAATGTTCATTTCATGCATGGGCCGCAATAGTAGACAGGAAACAACAGACACCGAGCTCGGCATGGGTGTATGAGTGTGTGTGTGTTTGTGTTTGTGTGTGTGTGTGTGTGTGCGTGTGCGTGTATGCGTGAGGAGCCAGATGCGGGATGTGGGCAACTTGTCAGTATGATAGGTATTCCCACAGCTCACTTCCTGCTCTGCTGGGTGTGTCTTCCTCTCTGTAACTGGGTCATATGACCCAGGAGATGAGAGGTCAAAAAGTCACCAGCTGGTTGGTAGGACTGAGAGTTTGAAAAGAATGAAGTGTTGAAAAATCTAGTTTAAAAGACAATGCTGTGCAACACTTACAAAGATTGTTCTAGTATAGATTTCACAACGCTGTTCCCGTCACATCACAAAAGCAACATCAGTGAAAAAGGTTAGGAAATATCCCCGACTCAGATAATATTTCCACACCATATGTACGATTTGGACATGGCTTTGGGGAATTTAAAGAGCAACATTGAAAGGTTAAGAAATAGCATAGCCAAATGGTCTCATTAGATTCTCAGTAATAAATATCTCCTAGTGGGTTATTAAAGATTTTATTGCACTCTGCTCTACACCCTTTCAGGCACTGTAGAAGTTGTTGCACATAAAGGTTTCATAACTGCAGAAACCTTCCTATAATTAGCTGAAACCCTGCTTGGCTAGACATGAGATCCTTGTAAAGAGCCCTCTCAAACTTATGAAAATTGAAACAAGCAATCAGGACCACCAGGGGACTGCTGTCTTTGTGTATTCACTCTGTGCTTCTATGTGCTTGCATTTTTGTCAACTCTGTTAAATTGTCTCTTCTTCTTCCCTCTGTCTTATGTAAAATCCAGGTCCCAGAACGCACTACCTCTAAGTTCTACTGTCGAGAGCTGGTGATGGGACACAAAAGGGCTGTTTCAAGGTAGACCACAATTACACTGTATGCACATTAAACACGCAGACAACAAATAAAGATATGTGTCCTTTATAAAGGTTGCCATATGTTTTGTCTGTTCCTAAGCCAGTTACTTCACCTTATTTCATGTGTACGCTCCCTGCCCGGCACGAAATGACACATAAAGTTAGTAAGTAGTCATTGTTTCCCCTCAGGAAGAGCAAAACAGCTAAAATGTGAGTGAATAGTGGACACATCTCTAAATAAACACCTGTAGCCCCATGTGTTATACAGTGATAATATGTCAGTGTTATATTTATAGAACACTTACCCCAAGTGCCAAAAAACCCTCTGTTTTTCTTGCGTAAAATAAACACACACTGTGTAAATGTGCAATCATTAAAATTACAAAATTACCAGTTTGTTTCACTTACAACATTGCTGAACCTTGACATAACAATGTAAATAAAAGAGCCATATTGGACACGTTTACTCTCTCACCATAATCTTCTACCTGCTGTTCTGTTCATAAAGCACGACCTTCACTGCCTCATATTGTGTGTTTTATGAACTTACCTACAAAGCAGAGTTACAACAGTGAGGTGTCTCTTGACTTTGGGAGTACCCAGAAGCTAATATCAGCTGAGCTGGTTGCCTTAGGCAGCAAATATGTGGGCATTGTCTCGCAGCATAAAAACACAATGCATATGTCTGTCCTTAAATTGGAAACAAGAGAAGCCTGAATAACATTAGTCCTAAATAGAAAGTGAATGTACATTCTTCATTTGTTTGGTAACCATGCTATGAGCAGAGCAGATCTTTACCCTTCCAGTTAGAGTGAACCTTATTCATCATGAGATTGTATATCACACTACAATTCAGCTCACTGGCATACACTATTAGAGAACAATCGGTCATGGGTAGATCAGATCAGCTTAGCTTGGATGATTATTTTCGATTAGATGAAACTAATGGTGAGGGAATCGGGTCATTGCAGTGGCAGCGTGAAGGATATACTCGAGGTTAGAACTTATAGAAGTGTATAATGTTGATCAAAAATCACTCTCCCATCTGTGTCACTCTGTTTGTGTGTCTCTTTCTCCATCTAGTGGCTGCCCGGTGTCTGTAGCAGAGAAGAGCGGACGGTCGGTGTCTCATGGAGTCTCCCCTACCAGCAGCCACCACCCAGGTCTGTGCCACCTTAAGTCAACCCCAACAGGCTGACCAGGCTTAGTCACATGCTGTTAGCTGCTGTATGAGCCATAAAAATGAACCCCAACAAAATACAGGTTCTTAAACTCTTTCCATAGAGATGAAGTGTAGTTCTGTCATCTTTTGTTTTTAATGACCAGGCTCTCAACATGAGGTAATAATTTATGTGTGATAACAGGAGCCATACCAGATATAGTATTTGTTCTATGATCAGAGATTAAAGATGTAAAAGTAATAATGTAAATGTTACTTGTTGGCTTTGTAGTGCTCTTGTTGTTTTTGACCAAAATGGTGACTGTTGTGGTCTGCCACAGTTTCGTTTAAACTCAGCCCTTGTTTCCACACAGATGTGGCCCTGGTGTGAACTAATGCTCTGAATGAGTGAGTGTGGTCGTGTGTGAGTGTGGTCGTGTGTGTGTGTAAATCCTCAAAACAGGCACACACACAAACCAGTTACATGTAGCCAAACCAAGCCTACCAAAGACTCAACATAGAGTACACACACTTACTATAAAGGAGCGAGAGCGCAGATAAGTTCAAAGCTTGCCCCCTCCACCTGTGTGAGAGAAAGAAACAGCTCATCTATTTCAAAGCTGCTCTCTGTGTGTCGTCTGTGTGTGGCACCATCGAAGCTCCTGTTGTACAGACTTGGAGAGAGAGAGAAAGAAAAGAGGAAGATGGGGGAAAATCTGTTTAGTATTTCAAAGTTTTCCTCTGAGAGGAAACAAGTTTTCATGCCTCCCACTCAGTTTGGCTGCTGACCTCGGCCTTCTTTGTTTGGAGCCACAGATCAGAGATTCTCCTGCAGACTCATACAGCTTTAATGTGGTAAAAAGCTTTTTATCTGCTCATGATGATACTGAGAAAAGCAGCTTTCTCTTTGAACTAAGAGTATTTGTAGCACTGATACATGAATATATGATTTACAAATTGATTATGATATGGTTTAAAATCATAATATCATGGTAGAACAAGGGATTGCTAGCCTCTGTCACAAATAGTACTAATAAAGCTAGTGTTTATCAGAATTAAAGACAGCATTTCCTTTGATTCATGTGAATTCTCACAATCTGCCATTGCTGAGAACTCTTGGTATGTGGTGACAGGTTTCCTGTTTTGCACCATAAAACAATCATTTTTTGTTCTCAAAACCATAGCAGAGTTTTGAAGCCAGTGTAATAGCTACAACAGAGACAATAATTCTGGTAACATGTAGTGTTAAGTTGGGTAACAACTTGATACAAGACACAGATCTATTATCTGACCACCATTTGTCAACACATTAAAGCTGCTTGAATCAATATTTTTACATTAATAATGAATCAGAGTTTTCTTTTAAAATATTTTAGCTCATTAAGCTGGTGACTTGCTGGGTGAACTTTGTGGAGCCTGTAGCTTCTAAAGAGCCCGGTGTTTCCCTCAGGAGTTGGTGGAGAGCAAAGGAGATGAATATTAGACCAGATAGACACACAACTCCAAGTGAATGTTGTCCGTGTCTCCTGGATGGCAACTGTATGCTTACACATTTCCCCACATCAACTATAGTATGGTAATAATATATCAGTATTGTGTTTGAACCTGTTGCGCCACCTCACGCTGCCAAAAATGGATTAATGCAGGATTAAATATTTCAGTATTTAATTTCACTTTTTCTGATGTGTTTTCTTATTTTTTCTTTTTTATATTTGTGCAATGTAGGGACTTTTTGTTCATTAGCAGGTCAAGCTATGTTTGGGGCTTTTGGTCCATTCAGAGTGCACCTGATCCAACATCCAGCTCAGCAATTGCACTTTCTGGCTGTCAAGCTATCCAGCTTAGTGATACACAATGTTAGAGCCCATGTAGAGGCCAGTAAAGGCTGCCATCGTTGGAGAAAGGCTTCATTTGTCCAAGATAATTATACCTCTAACCACTAATGCTCATCTGTTAAAGGTTCAGTTGTTTGCTCAACACAACCCTCCTGCTGTTTTCACACTGTATAACTGCCACTAATATATGTGTGTTTATATTTATGTGTGTGTGTGTGTGTGTGTGTGTGTATTTATTGTAGGTTTCTTCAAGCTGGAGAGTCCTCTTCTACAGCACCGTCTACAGCCGCACAGGAAGACACAGGAAAATGTAACCAGCGGACATACACAAGTAAATGAAGAGTCACTTTCCGTAACATTTTCACAGCTATGACCAAATTCTGACACACATGCAGATCTGACGTGTGTGAACATGCATTACTAACATTATCACAGAAATCAGCTCAGCTACATTAATCTTAATTAACAATGACGAGCAGGATCATGACAAAACACATGCACACAGATTTCCTCTTCTACGTTACATGTAAAATGACGTCAGAATATTTCCAGTAAGTCCCTCTTCTTTAGATGTTGAAATAGTTTTGTGCAATCATTTTCATCTGTCCTTCTTGTGCTGTTTCTTTGATCTTATGAAGCACTTGACCTTATTTACTCATATTGCTCCTCACCTTTATCACGCAGGGTGTTAGATCTGCTCTGGGTCGACTTAACAAGGCCACAGAATACTCCTCTTCCAGCGACGAGGTCGGCAGCAGTGATGATGAAGAGAGGAACAGGTGATACTTCATCATCAGTATAATAATCGCTTTATGTAAAACAATCCTTATTTAAGTACACAAAAAAACAAAAAGCTGAATATCATAATGTCAGGGACAAAAAACTCAGTCTTTCAGTGTTTCCAAACAACATAATTACACCTGTTGTGACCTTTTGTAAGACGTAATGTACCAATTGTTAAACCACTTAAGAATCAGAGAAAAAGGCCCCATGCTTACTCAGACATCTGCTGCATCTACTGAGAAAGCCTGTATTTGGGAATGTTTCTGCTGACTACCAAGGCTAGCTTAAACCCAAAACACTGACAAACAAACTGCACATTAAAAAATTAATTAAATTCAGGATGTATTGGCCCATCTCAACCTTGATACATTTGTCATTGGTTTACATTTTACATAGAGTGCATTTGTGTATGCTTATGGTGATAAATAGGATACCGTGTTTATTATTTTTGGCATAAATAATTTCTCTTCTGGTCCCACTTTTGATCCCAGGAAGTTAATCAGCCTCATTTTCATCACCATCAATTTGGAGGATGTATTGACCTTGTTTCCAGTTAATGAATGCAGTACCTGCAGTCAGGCTCTAGTCTGAAATCTTGACATGTCTGTATGTTTCAAGGTCTGGTCTGTCCAATGGAAAGGGGAAATACTACAGAGGAATACCTGATGGCATCGTACTGCAACCTCACCACAATCTTAACCAGGTACCCCGCACACATACACACATACACACAAACACACACACTGCTCCCGTTTCTCCTCTAAACTCCTCTTTACACTTGTTTAACAGCTAGAGGGTGCAATTTCCACTGTTATGGAAGATGACTGGTGTCATACACTCTGTTCTGACTGGTGGAGAGTCACAGGCATTCAAACCGCCTTGATGACAACAGCGATTCAAAGTGTTCTGACTCACCATTCAAATGCAGCCCCACCTTACCTGCTTCTTTGTGTCTGTGCGTTTTGCAGATTTCTCGGATAGGTTCAGATGATACCTACATGCTACCAGACCTCCTGCAGAAAACATCCTCCTCCAGTCCTACCCATAATGCACTGGGCCAGCAGCAGCGAACATGTGAACTCAACTACTCGCAGTCGCCCACAACCCCTCGATCCCCCACGCACCAGGACCTACACGTGAGTTTATATGGAGGAATGTGCAGTCAGAGAGACAGGCAGGAACACACACATACACCATATGGATTTCTATCTAGATATCTTTAGCTCCATGGAAGGATATCATTGAGTCTTGAGTTGACAAAGGTTGAAAAAGAGAAGTAAATCTTTCAGTGGGGTTGAAATAGGATTACTTGTTTGTAACATAAAAAAAAAAACATGAGGACATATAATTTTAAGATTAGTGGGCTCAATAGTCTAAATAGATTGGATAACATTTTTGATACAAGTTTATAAGCATTGTTTACAAGCATTCAAAAGTATTGTCCATATCCATGTGTTTTACTAGTTGCATTAGTTGCATTTGTCCACCTGAGGGAGATGGTGGTACAGTTTAGGTGCACAGACATGGGTAGTGATATAATCTGTTTTAATAGTCCTGTATTAGTATCGATCTTCATTTAAAAGGAATGTGCCAAACATGCATTTCATTTGTCCTCATACAAATTTAGAACCAAGAATGCATTTGTAGTAATAATGTTTAGAGTCTGAAATTAATTGAGGCTCAGAAAAGAAAAAGACTTGTTGGTGATGTCAAATTGTTTTCATTGAACTATAAAGCTGTGAACAGGAATTGTAATATTGTGTTTACAGCCAATATCTACAAAAGCCAATCAAACAATAAAAAATGGTCTGTAATAATAATAATAATGTTTTTCTTGTCGTTGTTCAGGCTGTCAGCAGTCCTACTGGTAAAAACATTTCCACATCTTCAACTTCCTCCTTCCTGTCCTTCATCGATCCAAGATTGATTCCCATATCATCGCCACCACAGAGCCCTAGTGAGTACATGTACACACACACACACACACACACACACAAGCTGTATACATAGACTCATACATACATATATTACTGATTTCACTTAATTGTGTGTAATATATAGAATATATATAATTTTTTTTACATGAGAGAGTCAGTTTACTTTGAGACATTGTACTCATGTAACTACACCGTGCATTTTTAACATTGTTTTTTTGTCCCCATGCAGCAGGCAGTAAGGGTGAACCAATCAAGAGAGAGAACCACCGGAAGGGCTCTGTGGTGAACGTGAACCCAACCAACATTCGACCACAGAGTGACACTCCAGAGATCCGCAAGTACAAGAAGAAATTCAACACAGAAATTCTCTGTGCTGGACTATGGGGTTTGTAGTTTTATATTGCTTGTGTTTTAAATAGAAATAGATATAATTGGAGGAGTCATTTATTATAATGTTTGTATTTTGTGTATATTTATATTGTAGATGTGCCTACATTCAAGCCAGAAGCTAACATGGCAATACTGGACCCCCATTTTTTTACACAGTGTGCAGAATCAACATATTATTTATTTTTGTTTTCCTTCTAATACTGATGTCTTACAGATGGATAGGTACATGACACAGCATGTTGAGGTGTAAAGTGTGTGTCTGTTTTTGTTGTACAGGTGTGAATCTGTTGGTGGGGACCGAGAATGGCCTGTGGCTGCTGGATCGAAGTGGTCAGGGGAAAGTGTACTCCCTCATCAGCAGACGAAGGTTTCAGCAGATGGATGTGTTGGAAGGACTCAATGTACTGATCACTATATCAGGTACTTGCTGTAGATTTAAGTACACAAAACACACTGACACAGATGAATATAGCTCTAAAAACACCAAGAACTCTCCATGGGTTGCACTCACACAGTTACTATAATTGGCTCGCAGCTTACAGTGAAGAAACAGAAACAGACCAAACATTTGGCCACCAGCCTTTCTCGTATCTCAAAATATCTAACAATAATGTGAGGAATAGTTTGTTTTTTTAACCTTCCTTTCAACCTCAAGTATTGTTAAGGTGTCCTTGAGCAAAGTATGTCAGTATTCCAAATATACCAGGGTATTAATAACTGTATATAACAGGATGAACTGTATCTGTAGGTAAAAAGAACAAGCTCCGTCTGTACTACCTGTCCTGGTTAAGGAATAAAATCCTACACAATGACCCAGAGGTGGAGAAGAGACAGGGTTGGACTTCAGTGGGTGACTTGGAGGGCTGTGTACACTATAAAGTTGGTAAGTACACACTGGGAAAGGCCACATTGAATGGTACAATTATTTATTTTCCATGATACAAGTATTAGTGTTGTTTAGAGAGTCTGAGTAATCAGGTCTCTTTTTCCATCCTGTTTCTTCAGTGCGTTACGAGAAAATTAAGTTCTTAGTGATTGCTTTGAAGAATGCTGTGGAGGTGTACGCCTGGGCCCCAAAACCCTACCACAAATTCATGGCCTTCAAGGTTGGTAACAGTTTGAATTAAATATAAAATCTTCTGTGTGTGTCAGTGTGAAATAATAGTAATAGCAATAAAGATGTGAGCAACATACAGTATGTTGTCAATACTACAGTATAAGTTATAGTGAAATATCTGAAATACTAGCTGGGTTGCCAAGCTAACATGCTACATTCATTAAACGTCCAGCCGTGGTGTAGACTGACAAAAGTTGAGCAAAGTCTAACAAAGCAAGTAAAACTCCAAACAATCACCATACAGAGGATAAAAATGAATCTCAAGCTTATGGAGTTGCGTGCAGAATTCAAAATGCTCAGCTAGCATCTCAACTTCCTTGATTGGGATCTCTGAAGTACTTAAATCACCACCAACAAGTAATCAATACTGTCCATCATTGTCTTTTCCATTCTTACCATATCTTTGCATTTCTAGGACAAAACAATTATAGACACAGACCAGAAAATCTAATAAGGTCACTTTCACAGCCAGACACAAAGACATGACACATCCAGGCTATGAGAGTCGTACACACAGATTCTCAGCAGAGTTGTGTCCCATTTCTTTGTGTCCTTCGTGGCCTGAGCTACTTTTTCTTCCACACTACGTAGTTTAACCCTCTCCTCAGAAAAGGCCCAAAATACACGACCTCATGGAAGTGATAGCATGTTTGTCTTATGGTGGCTATTTTTACGCAGCTGCTCTTCAACTTGTCAAAGTCAATTGCTGATTAATAATTAATGGAGCAGTTAGATTAGTTTTCAGTCATTAAAGGTAATAACTGAAATGTGTTTGTCTTTGTGTACAGTCATTCAGGTCTCTGCCCCAAAAACCACTGTCTGTTGACCTGACAGTCGAGGAAGGTCAGAGGTTAAAGGTCATCTACGGCTCCTTGTCTGGTTTCCACGCCATTGATGTCGACTCTGGAACACCCTATGACCTCTACCTGCCTACACATGTGAGAGTCTACTTAATATTCTTTATGCTTTATACATTTGCTTGTTTCTTTGTGTGTCTCTCTGAAAAGCAAAGTCCTTCCTGAAATGTCATGTTTCACTTTCATGAGAGAAAGGCCGAGACAAATGACATCTGGGAGAAACTTCACCAACAGGATTTCTCTGGCATATGTTTATTATCTTAAAAACAGGTGTTTAGGAGGGTCATCTCTTATAATCAGGGTTGTGGGCCGATACACTAATAAGCTTTATGAAAACAGTGTTAGTGGATCAGTATATCAACGTAATCTTATATCATACATATTGACCTCAGGCAATTTGGTGGTAAGTTCACATAGCTGCTATAAAAGTAATTTTTCTATAAATTACTTAAAATGTGTATTTTTCAACTTAATATGAATTCTTACAATTTCTAAAAGATAATGAATTAATAAAAATATATTAAAACATGTTTGTGCTAGTGACACCAAAGATACTTTTGTAAACTAGGTTGCTAGACAAGATTATTTGTTTCTTTTTATACTGAAATAATTGAAAAAAGATTATTGTTATTATAATTTTGTATGAAAAGCCCATGTAGAATTTAGTATTCAATATTTAGAGATCTTTGAGGTTGTGCATGATATCATTCTCACTGTAGCTGAAGCTCTCTGTTACACCTGACTTTTACTTTGTGTATTTATCCATCAGCTGTTATCTCTCTATTCAGCCATATCACCTCACTCCTCTCAATCTCTCAGGCTGCACTTCTCCTCCTCCTCTTCCTCCCACTCACAGTGTGCAGATGTCAGTCACTGCTCTCCTTTATTTTTCCTGTTTTCCTCTTTCCACCTCCATCCACTACCCTCCTACTCAGTCTGTAGCTGTCAAACACTTTTCTCTTCCTCTTTCATCCTTCTCTTCTTTTCCTCCTCCCACTCTGTCATCCAGTGTGCCATTGTTCATTTGCTCATTTTCTCTTCATTTTTATCTGCATTTACCAAACTATCATTGCTCTGTCTCTTTCTTTCTCTGTTCAGTCTGTAGGTAGGTAGAGCTGACAGCAGAATCTAATGACTCATGATCACATTTCTAGTCAGACGTTGACAGTTTTATTCCCTGTATGGCATTTGAACTTTTGAAAACGCTTTTGTGCGCATTTGGTTGTTTATTGGTTGAATATTGAATTGCTGTGATCTTGGAAAACCCCTAATCCAGAGAGTGATACAGCATGTATCTCCCCCACCCAATAAAGACCACTGTTCCACCGAAGCCTGCCAAGAAGCAGCACCCAGCCACTTGGTCCTCTTGCCAATAACAATATGGGGCACTGAATGAACATCATTCACCATAGTAACAGTATATATATATTACTAAAGAAACTAAGGAAAAGCTTAAAAGGTTACCAAAGCTGCCAGACATCAGTCTATAATTATAGTTCGATATACTGGTACTCACTTTGATGAATCGTCTCCATTTCATTGTTTCTTGAAGTTCTATAATCCAAGGGTTGACTGCATTTGGTGCCTAACATGTCAAGCATGTCCACAGCATTAAGTTATCTGTTGATAATATTTGTGAAATGTTATTTATAAGATGCAAACTTCCTTGAGTTATAATGAGTTATGGAAGTCTGTAAAACTTTACAGCTTTTCTCCTAGAAGGTTTGTGCAAATGAATGTGTGCCTTTTTAAATATGAACAAATCGCCCACTGCTGGTACAATTAGAGATAGAGCGGGTCATTTTTTTCTCTCCTCTGCTGTATGTGGGCATGTAAAGCTCGCTGCAGCCTGCGGTGAGTCATATTCACATTCAGATTCTGACACATCCTATTAAATATGTTTTAACAAGAGGTTTGAGGCTCAGGGTATGACAAAGTATTTTAACTTAAAATTTGAGTTTAGTCTATTTTGTCATACAGTATAAAGTGTAAAAAGCATTTGTTGGTTCATTAACTGTGGACTATACCAGATTCTTTCACATACTGCCCATACAGATGGTGCTGAGTGGGTGGCTGGACCAGGGTACCTGATTTCTGGCATTTAATGATTTATATAATGATTTTCCTCATCTTTCTATTATTATTTTGTGATACTGTGACAATGACACCGTTGTTCCATTTTGGATCTTTGCCATAGCTTTAGAGAGCAGAGGTCAACATGTTTGCTTTTATGGCTGGATATTACAAGTTTTGAGTGAGGAGCTAATGCAGAATGTAGACTACTGAATAGATTACATCAATGATTAAAGAATAGTTGACCCTTCCTAAGCTCCGCCCCCTTTTTGCTCTATGTCCAATAAGAATTGAGCAACTTTCTTTCCAGCAATTAGATACGCTATGTGCTAGACTCGTCTGTGTTGGAAAGACCACCACAGTTTGAAGGTTATGATTAAAACATAAAGCGACATTATGTATAGTCACTTCTTATGTTAGTAAAACATTTAACACTAGTTAATTACCTGGCTAACGATTAATAAAGATTATATATTATATATTATATATATATATATATATATATAATATATAATCTTTAATATGCCTATATCTCTGAAACTGAGCCTATTCTTTATGAAATATATATTTATTTTTAATATTTGTATTTTCCATAACATTAACTTGGATGAAGTAAGTACATTTTTGTTGTCCTCTCTGTCTCTCATTCATATGCTCAAACACCTTTCTCTCGCTCATTCACTCACACATACACCACTCTCAGTGTGTGCTACTTTCTGTATTCATGGGGGAGTTGGAGCCAGAGAGGCAGAGAGACATACGAAAAGAGAAATAAGCTCTAAAAATACATCCTTCCTGTCCTCCTTTTCTCACGATCATTAACCGTGTGTGTCCTAACCTGTTCTTGCTTCTGTTGAGAGTTTTTTTTTTTTTCCACTGCTCCTCCGTTATATTAAGCGAGTGTGCACAAAGCTGCCTACTACACCGGTGCCTTATACTTCTGCTGCTGCTGCGATATCATTTCAGCTCTCCAGCCTCTTTCTCCATTTTTCCTTTTCACTCTTACATATACAGTCAAGCTTTCTTGCACACACACACAAGCTACAGAGCACTTTTAAACCCACTCACTTGCACTGAGACATCCTCATAGTTCACTGTCTTTGACTACTCTAGAGGACACTTCACACTCCCGATCTTTCTTCATGGATGTATATTCGTACTCTGACACACACTCATTTAGACACACACACTTGCTTATGTGCATACTCACACTCACCTGCATCAACAACACATTCACTCACAACACTGACTTCATCATATTAAAAGCAATTCACCTATTCACAAGCCCACGCCACACACACACACACACTCACCCACTTAAAGAAACACACACACAAGCTTCTTGCCTGCGAACTATATAACAATGCTGATTCCAAGGCAGAGGATTAAGATTGCGTTGCGTCTGTGGATGCCTGTTCTAATGCTCAGGATTGTGGTGGCTCAACCTCTGGTAATGTATGAAACACGCTCACAGAAAATATAATTAATCGCTTCTTGTAACAACACAGAAGACTGCCTAACTTTTTTTCTTTTTTTCTGGAGGAGCTCTGTTGCTGGAAGGATTCCCTGTTTGTTGGGCTGTTATTAGAGAAATGTTTTGGAACTGGTTAGAGAAATGTTTTCGAACTGGGCAGAGAAATTTTACCTTAGATATTGGTTTCTTGATGAAATCTCTGTTAGATGATTGTTGCAGAAATATTTGCATGCAGAAGACATGTTGATTTGTTATACTGTTATACTCTAGGTTTTCCCTTATAATAAAAAAGCAGTTAGAGAGGATATTTTGTTTTTAGTCATCTCCTGTACAATACAACTGAAATTCATATTGAAATGACGTCTGTGCTTCAATAAAGGATTTTAGTTTTATGATGAAATTTTAAAAGAACTATCTTTCAACTGAGAAAACATCAAGCCAATAATTGCATTTCAGGAAAGTCCCGCCTGTGCCTCTCTGAACTGTTGTTGTATTTCCTTTCTACTTGCCTTTTTTGATCATCCTCAGTAGTCTTGTACCTTCGACTTATCCTTTGATTCAACAACTGAAACACATGTCATAAAAGAAACTGTACTGTCAACTCTCAGACAGTAGGCAGATGTGCCTTTATGTATCACAACATTGAAACACAACGAGCTGTTCTGATTTGAAGTAAGTTGAGGTAAATGTTCATGACGTCTTTGTGAATTAGTTCAAACTTGTATGTATTGTGTTTATCTCATAGATCCAGGGTTCCATTCATCCCCATGCCATCATCATTTTGCCAAACAGCGCTGGAACAGAGGTTCTGGTTTGCTACGAAGATGAGGGCGTCTACATTGACACCTACGGTCGCATCACCAAGGATACAGTGCTGCAGTGGGGGGAGATGCCTGCATCAGTTGGTAAGTTTCACTCATGCACACACAGACATATAGGCACACACACACTAAATACACATGAAATTAGAACAAAAAGCGCAAAGTGTATGTTGATACATTACTACCAGAAACACAGTGCCCCTGTGTTGATTAACCTATTTAACAGTGACACATTCATACATGTACAAACTGAGATATTAATCATTTCAACAATTGGATCGTACTCTTAAGTTACTGTTGAATGTCTTTATAGTGGCCAGATGTCTGACTTACTGATTCTAGATCAGCAGCTGTCCTGAGCACTGAAAGCTTACCCTGAACCAGATTCTATGACGACAGATTTGGGACAGGGTGGGCTAAAAATAAGATGGTAGTGATTCTGTGTGTGTTGGGTCGGGTCCAGTAGTAATTATTCTAGCATGAAGACTGTCTGTAGGGAATATAATTACTCACATATACACTATTCTCCTATTTCCTAATGTCTATACCTGTACGTATTGTATTTCTGTCTCTTCATATCCATGTCCATTGTGTGTCTCTCTCTCCAGCCTACCTTCAGTCTAACCAGGTGATGGGTTGGGGAGAAAAGGCCATAGAGCTGAGGTCAGCCAACACAGGGAACCTGGAGGGAGTTTTCATGCACAAAAAGGCCCAGAAACTCAAGTTCTTGTGTGAAAGGAACGATAAGGTAGGAGTTCAACTCTGTCTGCATTTACTTATAAGCTTTGCAGCACAAAGTGCATTATTTTCATTCCACAACACAAAACACTTTTCACAAATTATCTAATTGTGACATATTGAAACATTGTTAAATATATATAAGATAAGTTGAGTAAAGTAAGTAAGTAAGATTATGTGTTGTTAATGGTGGAGCCAAAATCAAGAAAAATGCTATATTTGTGTTGTTTTGCCATTATATCAGTTTTATTTCTTTCTATTCTTATAAGTCACATACATCAAGTTGTGAAAAGAAAGCGTAATTTACATTGCTTGAATCTCTATAAAACATAAATTGTAAATGCGTTATTTTCACTAAATGAGCTTAAATAATATATGTTATAACCCTGTATATTAAATTCCCTGTTCTCTCTCTCCTGTTTTATAAACAATATAGTTAAAGTCAATGGCATGTTCAGTTTGTACTCCTGACCTTGGAAATAGTTTGACAAAGAACTCTTAACTCAAGGGCCACTTACTGGATTTCTTGTAGATTTCTGTGTTATCATGTGGCCAGGAGTTTCATACTGACACAACTGAATAATCATAATGAGTAAACTCCATTTGCTAAAGGCCATAGGAAATGTCTGAAAGTTTCAGAAGATATCTAATAACTGGACCATTAGTCGACCTTTTTGTCGAAAAAACATGGTCACATCAGTTTAACCGTAAATGCAGCCACAATAAGCAAAATTTATGAAAGTATCATAAACTTTGAGCATTATTTCTAAACCTGCGTCCCTCTCCTGTTGCAGGTCTTCTTTGCCTCAGTGCAGTCCGGAGGCAGCAGTCAGATTTACTTCATGACTCTGGGACAGAACTCGCTGTTCAACTGGTAACAACTGGACCCGTTGCTCTGGGATCTACTGCTGGTGTCTGCCTTCATTATTCTGGGTTTGCCTGGTGATGCCTTTTTATTTTTGTTCTGACTGATGTTCATCTCCATGGATGGTGCACACCATACAAAGATCAACTAGTTACACCTGGATTCATTACTCTGTCTTGTCTACAGTAGTTGCCATGTATATAGCACGGATCCACAGCTGAGTTGACTGAGAGTCCATCACTCCTTCCTTGAATACTGACGCCTGAATCCTCGCTGCTTCAGCAACACACAAATCTGGACCTGTAATTCAGCAAAAAAGAGCTTTAGTTCACTGCCACCTCTCCCTTCCATGGAAGCACTGAAAGGTACAACATTCAGTGTCAGAATTTATCATGTATAAAGCACACACACAGAGCATTTTCTTATGCTTGAAGTCTACCTGGAGTCTTTCCCAGTAGGATTCAGGCTGCAAACCCTCTCCGCACCAGTGTGGCAGAAGACTCTTTTTGTATCCCGTTGTGCCAAATGTACCTGGAAGCAAAACCGATTGCTTGATTTGGTGGAATGTGTGGTGATTTTAAATGAACACCAGGTCATCTGGCCTCAACATCCCGTTCCTGCTCTCATCTGTCAGCACTGGAGACAGGAGCCCGCTCAGTTTGTTTCACATTCTCTCTCTGGTGGATCTGTCATCTCTTCCTTTCTCTCGCTGAGGAACTCTGTTGTATCAGTTACACAGCTAAGTATGTGTATATCAGTTACTCACTCATATTTGCTTTAACAATGCCTGGCTGTGGCGTATTACTGGACCAACTGCTTGCTTTTCATCTGATGAGTCAAGTCTTTATACCTGGATAATTGTTCTCAGAATGCAGACCAGGGGAGTTTCTTCTTTGGTGTGTCTTCATGCAAGCAGTATTTGTGTTAAAAGGAGTAAAACTAGAAGAACAGAAGTCCTTCATCAACCTCATTCGCTCCATAGACCATATCATCTGGGCATTTCAAAGACTGGGTTGGGGCCACAATGTGGACTAAGTATGACAGCTACTGTATGCCATTCCACATTTTGTTGCTACTGCTTGCCATTATGTCCTATTGATTTTCTTTAATCTGTTTCCACAAACCACCTTTGTTGTCTGTCTGCAATACCTCAGCAGTGTTCTTATGAAGGAGTTTTTAGTTTTCTTCTTCACTACTGTTAGCAGATATCAAGGACCCAAAATCATTTGTCAATTACTGTACTGAATCTTTGTTTTGTTGATTTCCATATAGTATTATTAGACAGTATTATATTATGTACTATCAAATATTATATTGTTGAAAAAAGAGACATTCAGGGTGGCAGTAAGTCCCTATAACACCCTACACATCATAGATTCAATCAGTCAAACTGTAACCATAGCTGTAAAATATACTGTCCATGCAAACCTTACAATAAGATGTCAGTATTACATTTCTCCCATTAAGACATATGGTCATTCTCTCCCTAGTGATGAGCTGGAAGTCATCTTTACTCTGTTTTTGAAATCAGTCACCAGTTAGGTAAAAATGATATGCTGCATTGCAAACTTTGCATAAAAATGAGTTGAATAGATTTGAGTACCCCAACAGTTTTCTTAGATCCCAGTTTGAGCATTAACTCCCCCACAGATCTAGATCATGATTATTCCATAATAAGATCCTTAACAGCCTTGTTCTTTACTGTAGGAATTGTAATGTACAGCAGAAATGGTGTACACAATTAGATATACATACCAACTCCACAGTAACAGGCTAAGAATGCTTTTCTGCATCTGTTTTGTACAGCTTATGATGTATATAATCCTGTAAGATGCACTGTTTTCTAAATATTTTATAATTGACAAGCCATCTTTATGTGTGTGTACAGAATTATAGGCTTATGAATGTGAAATTCCATCCCAGAACAGAGTTCATACATGTTATTTCCATAATCTTTGAGAGTTCAGTGTGTGTGAACATGAACATGAGCTACTGACAGTGAACTTGAAGGCTCCTGTTCAGGTTTTCAACCTGGTTGATGTCAAATAATGTATCAAGTGAATTCTGTTTTGTGGTTGACTTTCTGCTAACGTGTATGAGTCGGGCTCTTTGCACAATGGCCACCTTGTACATGTTGTCTGTAATATATCCTGCTTTGAAATTAATTTTCGGTTCAAAGTATAAAGATTAAAAGCCATTCTATAGTTAGTATTGAAGATATAACTGATAGCCTTTTGCTTTGGATTAGTATTACACTACCCAACATGGGATGCACACCTGTTTTTGATGGGTCCAGTTGAGGAATTGTTTTTTATTTTCTTTTATTTTTTTAGCCTGGATCTGACAAGTTGCAATGAGCTGGGCTGAAAAAAAGTGAAAATGCCCTTTTGTGTAGTATTTGTTCTGTTCTACTTGATATTTTGGTCATTTACGCAATGAGCTTCAAAGCAAGACACCAAAGATAAATGCTTTGATATATTGGCTTCCTTGAATCTGACTGTGTAAGATAATTCACAAATCACAACTGACTGTTTGGTTTGAAAAGATGATGAAAATTCATCTATAGTTTTAGAACGTACAGAGTTCAAGGTGTATAATTATTATATTCTGTACAAAAGATGACCAACACATTAGACACAAGGAGGCCAGAAAAGTCTCCCAGGAAGGATGTGTCTTGGTAAATCGCAAAAAAATATATGCAATTTAATGTTGCTAGTGTTCATATATTGAACAGCTTACATGTGTGCTTTAGACAGTGCTAGGTTTGGTAAAAGTGAAGAAACAATTGGTTTTTACCTTCAAATGTGAATTTGCAATTTGTCTATTTCTGATCCATTTTCATTACACCAGTTGTCTTTTCCTTCGTTGGATTTTGCTTAAACTGCTAACTTGGTTATGTTTTGTGTTATATTATCCTCTATATTTACTCTTTAATGTTCCGGCTATCAAAATTTGCTCCAAATGTTTTATATTCATGATACTTTGAGTTTTTGTTTTTGTTACGACTTGATAGTAATATTGCAGCTGGTTCTGTGAGAATATTTTAAACTGGAAAATTAACGTTGTGATGATGACGTCTTATTAGTTGTTACCAGTATTTCTTACAGTATTTGTTTCAATAGGATAGATGTTATTTCATCAGAGACATCAGACCAGATAGCTAGTTAGCATGGCTACAGTGCATGGAAATACAGGATTGCAAACTAACAGGATAACAGGCGTAGACTTGCTAGCTAACATGGGCTAAAAATCTCAGAGCCAAGTGAGCTAACATTGCTAGCTAACATATGGCTAAGTTAGTAGAAAGAGGCTAGCAGCATTAAAATGTGTCAGTCTGTTGCTTAACAGTGAACAAAGTTAGTTTCTGTATGAAGAACATGACAAACCACATTTCACATACATACCGTGTTTTAAGATACAATTCAAAATGTATCGGCAAAAGAAAACATTTTTGTAGACATTAATTCAAAACATCTTTTCGACACTGACAGTACATTTGTACCTATTGCAGCTGACAACTGTTATAAAATTTGATGAACATTTTTAACTACATGAGACATAAGTACTGGCATTTTAATTATAAAATGTTGACATAAATGCCTTCAGATGTCCTTTTATATGTGAATTTTATTCCTCCGAACAGGACATATCGTCGTATTTAGAATCAGGCACTGTGATAGCTTGCGGTCAGCTTTGGTCGGGTCTGTTCAGCTGTGAAATCACAGGACCGGCAGGTTTGGCCAGGTTCCTGAGCAAGACCCTGGCCATCAGAGTCCATACAGGACGGACCAAAAGTAGTCCCAAACTACCACAGTGGTTCCAGCATGTTTTCAGTTGTACAGAGCTGAACAGTAGTGAGCCTGTATTTGCTGCACTATCCAACACATTAATGCGCCTGGTTGATTTCATGTCCCTACTTTCAAAGCAATAATGTATGTTTGAGTACCACCGATTTATCATTGCGATTATATGACCATGACAGATTTTATCAGTTATAATTTGGCAAATTTATGGATTAAGTGTTTCTAATGAGTGATACATTACTCATTACATACATATTCATTTTAAAAAGCAGTCGTCCTTATTCTGCCGAGTGTTAGCTCTGCACAAGGGTTCTGTTGTTTGGTTACTAAAAAGACATCTTTAGTTCATTTCCTCTACGTTGTTCCACTTAAAGCAGTTCTGTGGCTATTTTCTCATCGTCATTTGTTTAACATTCAACATCATGTTTTATCTGCATCATTCTCCATCCTGCTTTAAGAAACAACATAGAAATCAGTTCCTCTGCAAGCTATTAGGAGCCAGTGTCACATTAATCCATGTGACATCTAAAGCTACAGTTTTGAGGCACACTGAGGACATTTTTTGTGGGTTATTAGAAACAAACTTCTCCTGCATTTTGCCTGCCTGAGCTGAACATCTGACTGTAGCTGTATCACTAATGAGAGAGAGATCAGTGCACTTCCGCCTACACCTTCCACTGGTTAAGATGTTGATAGATTCAGGCCCCCGATGACTCATCTCCAACTCTCCCCCCAACTCTTCCTCTCAACATGTCAACACGTCTCTTCTTACCGCTGCCTTTGCCTCTGCGTCTTTTTACTCTCTCCTCTACAGCCTACTGCTTCTCTCTAACATTAAAGTTATAAGAAAATATGGAAGAATAATGTATCGTGATATTTTCTGTATGATATTGGATCGATTCTCAAAATCACTGTGTCGGTTTTTATGGCTAAATCCCTAACCGCTAGATAGCAAAAAAGATATGCATTTGGTGGTGTGTTCTTTATAGTAGGACAGTTTTACTAAAATTGGGTTGTTGTTTTTTTAGCCTTTCGCCTATAGCATACACTAATGCAGTATATTGAATCGTAACCCCTGTATCACGATACATACTGTATGATTAGATGTCACATGCTCTCTGTTGCTTTCCATCGTTTCTTTCTCTCTTGTCAAGTCCCTCCATCCCCTTTAGCCCTGTTGAAGGACTCCTCGGCCTGTTTGTGTCATTGGATTGGCTGGTGGGGTGAAAGTATTTGGATTTCTATTAATCAGATATGTGAGATTTGACGCGTACCAAAATGTACTAAAGGAAACCACGCAGTATAAACATTTAGATGTTAGCAAAGATCAACCTTATCCATGCATAGTGTGCCATGTTTCTCTCTCTTATTTCTGAGCAGCTGCTTATCTGATCTTTCCTTTAAAACATAACGTTATCCATCTATATTGCATCAAATACTTTTGCATAATTTACCAATTTAAGAGTCTTGAAACAGACAACAGAATTGCCCCAACCCTGTTTTTGTAGGATGAACCATGATGCAGAGAAATAATACAAAACAGCTCAAATGTATCGCATAAGGTTTGCTGTATTCCGTTAAAGAAAGACTGTGTAACGTTTGCAGAGCTGTGGCTACAGTTAGCCACCATAACCTGCTGGTCATAGGCAGCCAAGTAGAGCTTTAAAGACAAAACACCTGTGTGTATTGAATTGATCAAGGGTGGGTTTTGTTGCTTATTGATTCATCTTTTAATTTGTAAGAGAAAGAATGTCTTTTCTTCTTTTAAAAGTTACACAGTTTTCCTTGAGTGATGCAACTGTTGTTTTCCAGCCTGTGTATGAGCCTGTCTGCGGTTGAGCTATGCAGTTCTAAAGAAAGTGTGTGTTTGTGTGGGAAGGTGTAATGTAGATTGGGAACAGGTGTTTAATAAGCACAAATTCAGTCTGTAAGAGAAGGAAGGATAGAGTTAGAGGAGGTAGTTAGTGGCTTGAGTCAAGTGTCAGTTAATAGAAGGAATATAGATGTTGCTTTGAAACCCAAATGCACAATTTTATCTTGTTTTATTTCCTTTAGCCTACAATAATCCTAAGTGTTAACTCAGTTTGGGAAAACAATGGAAAACTTGAAGGTAAAACAATTTATTTAGCATGCTGATGGAGCCAATAATGGGGCCAGCATTTCAACACCAAAAGTGCACCAAACTGCACATGTGGATTAATTATTTTTAGATAATGATGGTTGTAATGAGGAGAAGAAGGAAGAGAATGTGAAGGAGAGAGACAGTAATTGTAATGAAAAGAGACTAGACTAGACTGGTAGTGTCTGTCGATGACTGATATTTCCCAAATGTTTAGATTTAGCCAATAATTTATAATTATCAGTATATTTTGGACTAACTTGATAGAGTTACCCAACTGCTTGCAATATGGAGTTTCTGATGTTATTTGACACACAGGACAGTTGTGTTCTTGTAAATTCTAAAGAGAAGTTGAGATTATAAAATACCAAATATATAGATATATTTCTAAGTATATATATTCCCCATTATGAAGTTGTTCCTTTATGTTATTTTTTTTGCACTGGACCTATGTTTGATGCATCATATACTGTACTGTACCCCTCCTGCTTTGAGATGATCACAAACTAACTTGTGTTTCCATGTAATGAGGCAAAAGACAGTGAAACAACAATAAATATGTTGAATCGATGGTGTATTGTGTGTTTTAAATGTCTGATTTCCTTCATCAACCCACAGCTTTATTTCCACTTGCTGCATGTGTCATTGTGACAATAGATGTCACACTTGTCATTGTTGGTACAACACCATCAGCAGAAGCATTTGTTCTTTTGATTTCCTTATGATGACGAGATCTATTGATGTCAAATGATCTATTCAGAGTCGTCCATTATTGTTCTTGTTCAATCAATAGGGTCATGAGCTAGGCTGCATTTTTAAAATGAAAGCCCCCTTACAGCTGGGTTCTGCAGTGGTAAAGACGATAAATAATAATAATAATAATAATAATAACTAAATATTTTTTTTGTCTTAATTGGGATGAGGGTAAGGTCTGGATAGATAAAAAGGTGGCTATTCCCTTGATCATTCTGATTCATTTGCTATCAGCACTACTACCTTCTACTACACCATCATGGTTCTGTTTGTGTGGTGGTTTTCTGTGTTTAAGATTGTACAGAAAGTCTCTCTCTGTCTCTTTATCTGCCTCTGTATCTCTCTCTCACACGCTCATATCCAGGGGTCTCATCTCATGTATCCCCTGAAGACTGACTGGCACCAGTTGCAGGTTTCCTGGCCCGTCTCATACTCTTGGATGAAGTTAGGTCATCGAGCCTCCAACCGCAACACACCAGCCATCATTTGAAAAGATTTCCGTGATCCCTAAAAGAGTGTGCAATAAATGAGTTCTCTGTCTGTTACACTTACATCTGGTTGGTTTGGAGCTGTTAACATTAGCTAGAACACACACAGGTGAAGCACTTGCACTCCTGTTGCCTTGGACCTTGAGCCCTGCAATGCGTTAGTCACTGTTGATGAACCTTTACTCCGCTCTAAATTTGCCACTTTGGTACCCCTCCAACTGAACCCCTCCTGCCCTCCTCTCACCCCCACCTCACCAGCCTCAGATTCCCTCCTAACCCCATTCCACCAACAAATCCCCCCACACACACATGCCTCTGCCTGTGTGTTTGTGTGTTAATGTGTGTGAGGATGGAGAGGAGAAAGCGAGCAAGACAGAAGGGAAGTATAAGTAGCGAAACATAGAAACAGGTTTCGCTTCTGAGGTTACGTTTTGTGTTTCACAGGCAGAAAATAGTTTCAGTTACAGAACATAAATGTCCCAGTTTGCATTCAAACCAGTGAACCGCTGTTTGTTGTCGTCAAGCACCTTCCACCCTTCACTCACGGCCTGATC